TCAATCTATATGCTGAGCAAATCATCTGAGAAGCTGGACTGTATAAAGACGAATGCAGCATCTAGATTGGAGGAAGACTCATTAAGAACCTGCGATATGCAGATGACACAACCTTGTTTGCTGAAAGTGAAGGTGACTTGAAGCACTACAGCCTTCCATATGGATTATACCTCAACATAAAGAAAACAAAAATCATCACAAGTGGACCAGTAAGAAACATCACTATAAGTAGAGAAAAGATGAAGTTGTCTGGGATTTTGTTTTACTTGGATCCACAATCAATGCCCATAGAAGCAGCAGTCAAGAAATCAGACGATACGTTACACTGGGAAAATCTGGTACAAAAGTCCTCTTTAAAGCGTTCAAGAGCAAAGATGTCACTTTGACAACAAAGGTTCACCTGACTCGAGCCATTGTATTTTCAGTTGCCTCATATACATACAAAAGCTGAACAATGGATAAGGAAGACTGAAGAAGAATTAATTCCTTTGAATTATGGTGTTGATGAAGAATATTGAATGCACCATGGACTGGCAGAACAAACAAATCTGTCTGGGAAGAAATACGGCCAGAATACTCCTTAGAAGTGAGAATGGCCAGACTTCGTCTTACGTGCTTTGTTCATGTTATCAGGAGGACCAGTCCCTGGAGAAGGACATCATGCTAAGTAAAGTAGAGGATCAAGGAAAAAGGGAAGACCCTCAATGAGATGGATTGACACAGTGGATGTGATGATGGGCTCAAGCACAGCAAATATTGTGAGGCTGGTGCAGGACTGGGCAGTGTTTCATTCTGTTGTACACAGGGTTGCTATGAGTTGGAGCTGACTGGATGGCACCTAGCAACAACAACCTGAATCTATTGTTACATTTGTGGTAAAATGATTATTTTCTAATTTATTAACTGCTATTATTTCCTTTTGGAGTCACATTGTGGACTGAAGAATTCCTTTTATCCATTGTGTCATTCATAGTCCATTATCATTATTATTTTCTGTTGTACTCATATTGACCCAAATGTAGCTAATAGGAGCCCATTCATGCTGGTTTCTGTGCCCTTTTAATGTGTCTCTTTCAGTTTTTGAGCATGTCCTTGTTTTCTTATGTAACAAGATGTTCTTAACTTATTGTATATGTATATTTCATTATTTCTCCAAAGAACTTTAGTTCCTTTGAATATGAATGGCTTTTAGAAATCAAGATTTGGGTACTAATATAATATGTTCATTTCTACTGATCTCCCAAGTATAGTTGATACTTGTTATTTCCAATAGTTATGTTTTATATGGGAGCTCTGGTGGTGTAGTGTTTAAGGCATTTTGACTGCTAACCACAGGGCTGGTGGTTCAAGACCACCAGCCACTCCTGGGAAGGAAAATTAGGAAATCTACTGTAGAGACACAGCCTTGGAAACCCAAGGAGGGGTCGCTGTGAGTCCAATTAACTCGATGGCAGTAATTAACTATGTTTTATATAGTGGCAACAAACACTTGAGTTAGTCAATACTGAACCGTCGCTCTTAGGGGAAATCCTGCAAGTCTGTGGCACATCACAGCCTTCTTATGATTAGGAATACTGGACAGCACTTCAGCACTATACTTGGAGCCATTTTAAACAGCAAAGTCATCAACACAAAGCAAAAAAATTAAACAAACATGTCACTAAATAGATCAAGAAAAGGTCACTTGTTCACTGTATGAGAACTGAAACATGAATACAGATTCTGTCTTTATTGAATGACCTCATCTGGGAACCTGAGCATTGGGCAACTCAAATTTTTGTCTCTGCACATGTCTGTGAATGACAACAAAAGCACCCTGAGTATTGATTTAGGGCTACAGATTATTTTAGTGAGCAGGGAAATTCACAAATATGGAATCCACAAATAATGAGGATCAACTGTACTTTGGATTCTATCTTTGATGTACTATTTTGATTTCTTATCCCTTTCTTATCTTCATTGCTGTCTTCATCCTGGACTACTGCAGTGACCCCTCATTAGTTTTCCAGTGACCATGATATCCTCTCTTTGTTTCATCTTTTTTTTATGGCCACTAGGAGCTCTTAGGCATGTTGCCTAAGGTATTTGACTGCTTACCTTGGTGGGTTCAAATTGACCAGCCACTCCTAAGAAGGAAGACTGGGCAGTCACTTCCGAAGAGACACTACCTCAGAAACATAAGGAGGGGTCGCTATGAGTCAGATTCGACTTGACAGCAGTGAGTTTGGTTTGGTGTATTTATGGCCACTAGAATTCTCTTCCCAAGCCACTAAAGAATTTGCCTTAATCACATATCCAGAAACCTTAGGTGAAACTTAAGTAGCTATAGAAAAATGTTCCATTTCCTTAGCACAGCTTACAAAACTCTTCATACTCTTTGAAAAGTGATTGATATTTCCAGCATTAGAGCTGTCTCTCTACCCTGTATGTTTAGTTAACAAAACTACCTACTTCCTAAAATTTTCATATCCTTTTACATTTCTCTATCATTGGTCCTGACAGTTCCTTGTCTTGGAAAATCTTTGCTTTTATCTCAGCTTTACCCTATCCTCATATAAATATTCTTTTATTTTCTAAGGCCTAATTAATCATTATCTTTTTTTACAGTGTTTTCCAATGCTAAGCGCTATGGTGGCATAGTACCTAAGACATTTGACTGCTAACCAGAAGGCTGGTGGTTCAAACCCACCAGCCACTCTTCGGAAGGCAGGTTAGGCAATCTACTTCCATAGTGATACCGCCTTAGAAACCCAAGGAGGGGTTGCTATGAGTTGGATCCAACTTGAGGGCAGTAAGGTTTTGTTTTTTTGTTTTTTTTTTTGAGCTCTAGATAATTTCCATAGCATTTTGCCTAACCATCTAGCTCTTCCATTAAATCATCATCTTTGATTGTAACAACCATTTCTTAGTCATCATTATTTCTCTCACAGGATCCAATACAATGTTTTCTCATAGTCTTACCTACTTACCGCTGCTGTTGAGTCGGATCCCACTCATAGCGACTGCTCCTTGGGTTGCCGAGGCGGTATCACTGCAGAAGTAGATTGCCCAACCTTTCTTCTGAGGAGTGGCTTGTGGGTTTGAACCTCCAGCCTTCTGGTTAGCAGTCAAGTGCCTTAGGCACTACGCCACGCCACCAGAGCTTCCATAGAGTACATTCTATATGCTCAAATTAGAGAGGCAAACTGGGTAGAAGGCTTCTGTCTTATTCAGGAATTTGGTGGTACTTCTTATGTTGTGTGGTACCATGCTCCAAACTTGGAGTTTCTGGAATTGCTTGGAGCCTAAGTTTGTAGTAGCATCTTCCCTTCCTTTTCATTTTAGTGTAGTGAGAACATCATCTTCTTTAACATTTGGGATATTTGCCTGTAATGATTTAAACTTCTTGTTATAAATTTGCCCCCAAATCAACCATTATATTAACATTTTTTAAATAACAAAATAATTCCTATTTGTCATCGACTATACACCTTCTAGAGAATATGTATTGTTTGTTTAAATCTGGGGTAAACAAACTTTTTCTGTAAAGATCCAGATAGTAACTACTTTAGACTTTGTGGACCACACTGTCTCTGTTGCAGCCATACAATTCTGTTGTAGATAGAGAGCAGCCATAGAGAATATGCAAATTGAATGGACATGGCTGTGTTCTGATAAGTTTTATTTATGGGCACTGAAATTTAAATTTCATGTATTTTAACTTTAAAAGTATTCTTATTTATTTTTTAAAAAATAGCTTATATATGTTGAAATCATTCTTAGTTTCCAAACCAAACAAAACCCTAACTCACTGCTGTTGAGTTGGATCTGACTTATATGACCCCTCCTTGGGTTTCCCAAGTAATATCACTATGGAAGTAAATTGCCCAACCCGGTGGCAGGCTGAGTTTGGTCCATGGTTCATGGTTTAACAACTCATGGTTTACTTTATAGCTAGTTTAAATTTCCAAACTGAGTTGAGCTATTCTGATTTGAATATAAAATGAGTAACAGTAAATAATTGTTTTACTAAGATGAGAATTCTCAAAAGTTGAACTGTCTTAATAAATTTGATTCTGAAAGTAAAGAAACATGTTAGAATTTCCTGCTGGTATTTATAGTAAAATTTAGTATAACTGGATAGTCTTTAATCTTGTTCAATGAATTTAGTGACTAAAAGAACTTTTTGTATTATTGTTGTATAGTTAATACAGAACAATTTAGAATAAGTGAAAGAACCAGAATTATAGACCATAACTTAAAATCTAGATTATTCATTTCACCTACATCTTCAGAGTATGTTATTCACCTACATATACTTTGAAGATGTAGTCTGCCCTCTGATAATCATTTTAAATAATATGATCCAACTTTTAGAGCTTATGGAGTATTGGAAACTGATAGATGAGAATTAGACCAACAACAACAAAATGCCTTTTGTGCTTAGAAATTTTGGTCTCAATTTTGCAATATTAGATCTACTCAGTGTGCATAATTTGTAATACTATTTCATGTATCTTCCATCTTAAACGTTGACAAAAAATATCCAATACAATGCAATGTATTCAGTCATTAAATATGTAGTCTGTAGATAATTATTAACATATAAATATCTGGAATAGTGTTCATGGTAAGTTAAGTGTAAAACATAACAAAACTGTATTTTCCCATTTCAGGAGTAAAAAATAGATATAAATACAAATAGGTCTTGATGAATATACACCAAAGTATTATTAGTGGTATTCAGTTGATGATGGGTTTATGAGGATGTAAACTTGTTATATGTCTACTTCCATCCACCTTTTCACACTGAAATTCTATTACTTTTTATATTAAAGTAACATTATTTCAATTAGTAAATTGCACAGTCATTTCTCTAGAATTTGTAACATCATCTAAGATTGAACCAGGAAATGATTTTTGAAAAGAATCAGATAATATTTGATCTCATTAATTTTTTTTTTTTCAGGACCAGAGAAATGAAGTTCCTTTAAGCTTTCTCATTTACAAATATCTTTCAGGGTGATGATGATGCATATGTGTGTATTCGTGATGGTGACACTGTGCACATACAGGCTTCCCATTTGACTGGACGAAGTCACCCTGTGATAGACTCTGGGGTAGGTGTGAACATTTTGAAAATTTCCTTTTGGCTGGTCCACCGTCTGGCTTTGTGGCTGACGTCGGCATGGCTGTGTTGCAAGATAGCTTCCAACCACCACAGTTAGCAGCAGAGCCCAAGCATGGACCTGGCAGCAGGGCTGCTCTCTCATAATGATTTATGAGAAACATTTCTCATAAATTATTTAGGAGCAATTTTTCTGCACTTCAGAAAGTGGAAGACAAATTCCTTTTTTTAGGAAAGATGAATTCTTGCTTGTGCCATTGAAATTCTTTATGTTACATCTTATAAATGAGTAATTTATTATTTACTGTCTTCCTTCTCTAGTGCTGCTATAACAGAAATACCACAAGTGGATGGCTTTAACACACAGACATTTGTTTTCTCAGTTTAGGAGGCTAGAAGTCTGGATTCAGGGTGCTGGCTCCATGGGAAGGTTTCTCTCTCTGTCAGCTCTTTTGAGCTTCTGCTCCTGGGCGATCTTGTGGTTTGCTCTCTCTTCCTCCATCTTTACCTTGCTCTCTTATTTAATCTCTATATCTCAAAAAAGGTTGACTCAAAGGACACCCTACCATTCCCAAATGGATTATAACCACAGGCATACAGGGTAGGATTTATAACACATATTTTGGGGGGACACAATTCAATCCATACCATTTGCTAAGATGGTCAGGGCATCAACTCCTTTTCTTTTCTAAAGCTTACAGACACATTTTATAAGAAGAGGCTTATTATGGTAAGGACAAAGAATCTCTTGACTAGAAGACAGAGGAGCACATATGATTGAGACCAGTTCAGTGCCTTGCATAGTCACTTTAAGTGTCCTTGTTGGCATCTGTGCCAAAGGTAGCCTATTTCTGGTTAAAAGAAAAAAAAAAAGAAAAATGTCTTTTTCACTTGGCAGTTGACAAGCAAATGAGCTCTGACAGAGCAGTAGCTATTACTAAATAACGTGTTACATTATCTGCAAAACTTTCCCATGGAGTTGACTCACACAGCTGAGATGGAACTTAAACACAGTTGCGTGTTGCATTTTGGCCAATAGGATATTACTAGCTAAGTTATTTCTTCAGTGTTTTTAATTGTGTGCTAGTGGCCAGATGGAGTTAATGCATCTGCCAGAGTTTTTAACCTGGCGAGAAGAATTGTGAGATTCTGAGTCAAAGTAAAAAAAAAAAAAAAAAACATTCTTGCCAAGTGAGAGAAAGGCAAATAAATTGGGAGAAAATTTTTCTTACACTCTTCAAAGAGGAAGTGAAAAAACAATGGAACTGCAAATAAAACACACATGCAATCTTAGAGAAAGGAAATTGAACAGGTCAGGATTTTGATCATATCTTATTTTTAGCAAATCTTTGAAAAGTGCTAAGAAGACCCATTGTGTGTTTGTAGGGTAGTCTTGAGGATATGGCTTGGAGGTTGACGGATGGTGTTATGCAGTGTTCTTTCAGAAGAAACATTAGCCTTCCTGGTTTTGAGAATAGAGTTGACCTAAACACCAGCTACTACATATTTATAGCAGATGGTGCAGCTGATAATGGTAAGTGTATTGGTAAAAAACTATCTTTTCAAATTTTTATTCTGTCCCTCTTCCTTCCTCCTTTCATTTCTTCTTTTGGAGAGATCTGCTGCAATTGCTTATTTTTAAGATACACACTTGTGGATAAAGAGTTATGAAGATTGTTTTCCATTTTGCTTGAATATTTTACCTTTGGCTAACTTTTTAGCTCTGTTTTCCTGGTAAGTAGATAGGGGTAAAGTGTCAATTATGTTATAAGGCAACATTGCTCATAATAATTATGACCCAGATTGGTAAACTGCATTTAGACTAGAAGAACTATAAATACCCGATAAGAGGTCATCGCTTTGGGCTCTCCTGAGTGCCGTAACTTTGGTGTCTTTGGGGTTGTTATAAGAAATACTGTTTCTTGTGAGACAGTCTGCTTGATATGAGTCTTCTCTCCTTGGATCTGAGCTGCTTTCTGGGAGATTGGAAGGGTTAAAGAGAACAGTTCCTGGACTTCTGATTAAAGTACTACAAGACCTCTCATTGAAGAAGAATACCCTGCTTTGTATACGTGCTGCTGAAGCAAGAAGTCGACTGCTTCACTCTGTCCTGCTGGCATGCTGTACTTCCTATCTCATGTCCTTCTATGTGGATCTGATGCCAAGTACAACTTACAATAATTTATGAGTCTAAAATATTAGTACATCCTCAGGAAGACTACCCTAGTGGGTATTACAACACATATAAATAGGAATAATTAGATTTTAAGGTTTTGGCTAATGATGTTTTGAATAACTGTAGGAAACCAGTGTAGTATTTAGTGAGTCATCTCTCTGGAGATGCCAAAAACTTTGAGAAGATAGCCTAATTTGATAATTGCAAGGAGCCTGGGAAGGTCATGGGATGGGTAAAGGAAGAGAAGTAGCAGGAAACGTGCAGATGTGATTGTGAAAAACCTTGAATATTCTATCACATGGTTTAGATTTTGTACTGTAGGTAAAGTGGAGTCTTAAAAGATTTTGAAACAGGATAAAATATCGACACAGTATTAGAGAAAATTTAGGAACATTTGTAGATTACTTGTAGGTGGTATGTATATGTAGTTACCTTAGCCAAACCATGTACTTTTTTTTTTTCAAAAGATTTTATTGTGATTTAGGTGAAAGTTTACAGAGTGCATTCACTTTCCATATAGCAACTCACATACACTTTGTCTCATGACACTGACTGCAATTTCCTACAAGGCAACAGCGCCCCTCCCACTTCCTCCCTATAGTTACCTCTTCCCTGTGTCCTTCCCTCTCATGCACTCCTGTCCCCCAAGCTGTCTCTGTGCATACACAGCCCTTGTATTCTCCCATGATTGATCTCTCCAAGGAGTGTATCTACCTAACATAAAGGTTCAGCTCATATGCCTGTCTTTTGTTTTGCTGGAAGCCACAGGAGTGGGTTCAATTCCACACCTGAAGGGCAGCTAGGGGCCATAGTCTCAGTGGTTCCATCAGGCTGTTTCAGACCAGCAAACCTGGTCCCTCCCTGTTTTTTTTTTTTTTTAATGATTTTGAGTTTTGTTTCATATTGTTCTTCTACTCTATCCAGGATTTCCTACATAGAATCCCTTCTGAGTAAACCACGTACTCCTAATTTGCACCAAAAACACTGAATATGGCTTGAAAATAATTTCTTGGTTAAGAGGTTAATAATGGATAAAAATAAATCAGTGTTTATTGAGTAGCAGTCACTGGAAAAGTACTTAGGTAGATACTTCTTTATTATCTCCATAAAAGCCTAATTGTTATTGTTAGTTGCTGTCCAGTCAACTTTGATTCATGGTGACCCTATATGTGCAGAGAGTATTGTTATATAAGATTTTCAAGGTTGTGGCCTTTCAGAAGCAGGTAGTCAGACCTGTCTTCTGAGGTGCCACCAGATGAGTTTGAACCATCATTTTTTGACTAGTATTTGAATGCCACCCAGGAAATAAAAAACCAAATTAGATATGTACTATTGCTGTTGTTGTTATGTGCCACTTGAATTGAGGCCAATTCATAGTGATCCTATGTACAGCAGAACGAAACTCTGCCCAGTTGTGTGCTATCCTCACAATCCTTGCTATACTTGAACTGATTGTTGCAGCCACTGTGTCAGTCCATCTTGTTGAGGGTCTTCTCCTTTTTCTCTGATTCTCCACTTTACCAAGCATGATATCTTTTGCCAGAAAGGATATCGTGTCCCTTCTGACAACATGACCAAAGCAGGTGAGTTGAAGTCTGGCCATTCTTGCTTCCAAGGAGCATTCTGGCTACACTTCGTCCAGAACAGATTTGTTAGTTCTTCTGATAATCCATCATCCTTTCAGTATTCTTTGCCAACACCACAACTCAAAAGCATAAACTCTTCTTCAGTCTTCCTTGTTCATTGTCCTGCTTTCACATGCATATGAGGCTATTGACAATACCATGGCTTAGGTTAGGTATATTTTAGTCTTCAAAGAGGCATTTTTGCTCTTCAGCACTTTAAAGAGATCTTTTGCAATAGATTTTCCCAGTGAAATACAACATCTGATTTCTTGACTGCTGACTCCATTGGTGTTGATTGTGGAACCAAGTAATATGAAATCTCTGCTGACAACTTCAATCTTCTCTCCACTTATTGTGATGCTGCTTATTGGTCCAATTGTGAGGATTTTCATTTTCTTTATGTTGAGCTATAATTCATACTGAAGACTGTAGTCTTTAATCTTCATCAAAAGTGCTTCAAGTCTTCTTCACTTTCAGCAAGCAAGGTTGTGTTGTCTGCATATTGTGGGTTGTTAATGAATCTTCCTGCAGTCCTGATGCTGTGTTCATTTTCTTATAGTCCAATGCTGTGTTCTTTTTCATATAGTCCAACTTTTCAGATTATTTGCTTAGCATACAGATTGAATAAGTATGGTGAAAGGGTACAACTGTAACACACACCCTTCCTGATTTTAAACCATGTGGTACCCCCTTGTTCTGTTTGAACAGCCACCTCCTCAGGGGTCTATGTATAGGTTCCTCAGCTAAGTGTTCTGGAATTCCCATTCTCATTGTTATCCATAATTTGTTATGATCCATACAGTTGAATGCTTTTGCATAGTCAATAAAAACAGAAGGAAACTTCTTTCTGGTGTTCTTTGCTTTCAGCTAAGATCCTTCTGACATCAGCAATGATATGCCTTGTTCCATGTTGTCTTCTGAATCCAAATTTTATTTTTGGAAGTTCCTTGTCAACATATTGCTGCAACCATTTTTGAATTATCTTCAGCAAAATTTTACTTGCATGTGATATTAATGATACTTTTTGATAATTTCCATATTCTGTTGAAATCACCATTCTTTGGAACGGGTACAGAGATGGATCTCTTCCAGTCAGCTGTCCATGTAACTGTCTTCCAAATTTCTTGGCATAGATGAGTAATGAGTGCTTCCAGTGTGGCATCCATTTGTTGAAACGTCTCAATGGGTATTCCATCAATTCCTGGAGTCCTTTTTTTTCTGCCAGTTCCTTTAGTGCAGCTTCAACTTCTTCCTTCAGTAACATTGGTTCTTGATCATATGCCACCTCTTGAATTAGATGAACATCAACCAGTTCTTTTTTGTACAGTGACTTTGTGTATTCTTCCCATCTTGTTTTTATGTATCCTGGATCATTCAATATTTTGCCCATAGAATCTTTCAGTATTACAACTCAAGTGTTGAATTTTTCATTCAGTTTTTTCAGCTAGAGAAATGCCATGTGTGTTCTTCAATTTTGGATTTCTAACTCCCGATCTTTGCACACTTCATTAAAATAATTGACTATGTTTTCTTGAGGTGCTTTTTGAAATCTTCTGTTCAGCTCTTTCATCTTGTCATTTCTCCCATTTGCTTTAGCTATTGTCTGTGCAAAAGCAAGTTTCATAGTCTCTTTTGACATCCATTTTGGTCTTTTCTTCCTTTCATATTTTTTTTTAATGACCTTTTGCTTTCTTCATGTATGATGTTCCTGATGTCTTGCCACCATTTATCAGGTTTTTAGTCACTGGTGTTCAGTGTGTCAAAGCTATTCTTCAGATGGTTTCTAAATTAAGGTGGGATATGCTGTTGTTGCTGTTTTTATAATCAAGGTCATATTTTGTCTCTCGTGGGCTTGTTTTAATTGTTTGCAGTTTCAAGTTGAATTTGCATATGAGCAATTAATGGTCTCTTCCACAATCAGCTCCTGGTCTTATTTGGCTGAATATACTGAACTTCTCCATCTATTCTACATCTATCTGAATTCTATATATTGCATCTGGAAAAGTCTGTGTGTATAGCCACCATTTATGTTGTTGAAAAAAGGTGTTTGCAATGGATAAGTTGTTGGTCTTGCAAAATTCTATCGTGTGATCTCCAGTATAATTTCTATCACCAAGGCCATATTTTCCGACTACCAGTGATTCTTTGTTTTCAACTTTCACATTCCACTCACCAGGAATCATCAGTACATCTTGATTGCACGTTTGGTCAATTTCAGACTGCAGAAGTTGGTAAAAATCACCAATTTCCTCATCTTTGGCTTTCGTAGTTGGTATGTAAATTTGAATGATAGTAGTATTAAGTAGTCTTCCTTGTAGGTATATGGATATTATCCCATCACTGACAGCATTGTACTTCAGGAGAGATCTTGAATCATTCTTTGTGATAATGAATGCCATGCCATTCCTCTTCAATTTGTCATTCACAGCATAGTAGATCATATGATTGTTTGATTCAGAATGGCCCACACCAGTTCATTTCAGCTCACTAATGCCTAGGATATCAATCTTTATGCGGTCCATTTCATTTATGACAACTTCTAATTTTCCTACATTCATACTTCATATATTGTACATTCTAATTATTAATGGATGTTTGCAGCTGTTTCTTCCCATTTTGAGTCATGCCCCATCAGCAAATAGAGGTCCTGAAAACTTTACTGCATCTACATCATTAAGGTCAACTCTACTTTGAGGAGGCAGCTATTCCCCAATTTTATTTTGAGTGCCTTCT